ACTCCGGGCGCTAACGCGTTCCGGCTCCCTTTCAAGTCGCATCTGAAGCGTGTGCCCGCTTCACTCTCGGCGCTGGCGCTAAGGGCTCCCGAAGAATCGGTGTGCTGGCGATTCTGCAAACCGCCAACTGCGGTCCGCACAGGGGACCCTACAATCTCTTAGTGCTTGTAGACCTTGTGCGAGGGCCGGCCCGCCAGGATCTCCGCCTTGCCCCAGTTGGTGACCGCGCGGAAGGCGTCGCTCGTGATGAACGCCTTGAACGCTTCTTCGTCGTTCCACTGGCTGGTGATCAGATACGACGCGTCGTTCGCCACGTCACGCCACAGCGACGAGCTGTCGTGCCCCTCGGCCGCGTTGAGGGCGCCGAGCACTGCGGCGAACTTCTCCTCGAACTCCCCCTGCTTGCCGGGCAAGACGACGTAATTCATTCCGACAGTGACCATCGCGGCGCGTCCTTTGAGAAAGCAGTCCTGGTTAAAGCGAGTTGCAGCCTGCAGAGCGTAGCACAGAACGGCGCCGAAGGTTTAGTTGTCGTCCGAGGGCGCGACGGCCAGGGCCTTCAGCGCGTCGAGCGCCCCCAGCAGGTCGTCACGGCTGATCGCGTCCCAGCCGGTCATCTTGTGGCTGAGGATCACCAGCTTGAACTGCTCGAACGCGTCCGCCACGTCATCCGGCAGCTTCGCCATGTCGGCAAACGGCCGCACCCGCGGCGCCTTCTCGGCTACGTCGCCGTCGCCGTCGGCTTCGAACGGGGCGTCCGACTCGTCCGCTTCGACCGTCGCGGCGCTCTCGCGCGACGCGGCGGCGACGGCTTCATCGTCGGTGGCGCCGCCGCTCCGGGCCTCTTCGCTCAACGCCTCTTCGCCGCCGCTCAGCGCATTGTAGGAGTCCTCGTCGATCTGGGCCTCGATCACTTGGCCGTCGGTCGGGCCCTCGGGGCCACCGCCATTCGCCTCCCACCGCGCGCCGCGCATCTGCGAGACGCTCCAGCGATTGTTGATCGCCCCTTCGAGCCACATCTCCGCGTCGTCCCAATCGAGCGCCGCTTGGAAGTGGCTCCAGAACAGCCCGCTATACTGCGAACGCACCGCGCCGAACCGCTCGTGCGCGCGACGCAGCCGGCCGACGTGCTGGCTCGTGACGTTGCCCACCAGCCGCGTCCACGCCTCGTCCGAGTACTCGGTGACGTGCGCGCCGCTCTTGCGGACCGCTTCACGCCAGTCGGCGATGATGCGTCCCTTCTCCCAGTTGGTCGTGCTGACGAGCTGGTTCCACTGTCCGACGAACGGCGAGGAGGACTCGACCGTCTGGGCCGACAGGTCGGTCTCCACCCGCGGCTCCTCGCCAACGACTTGACCGGTGGAAGGGATTGGGCCGGCAGATGGTTGCGAGAACGATTCGTCAGTGATGGGGTCGCTAGGCAGCATGGAGAAACGGGCCTCTTGTCTCGGGAAGCGGCAGGACAGCTAGCTCGATGGCGGGGCGTGCTCGGCCGCCAGCGGCCATCGGGGGGCGGATTCTAGCAGCCCCCCGCCGCGCCGCCACGCGCCGAATGGGCCAGCCACGCTTGAGTTATCGACACCCGCGCCGCACGACCCTCGCCACCCGCGCCAATTCGCAGAGAACCCCTGACGGCGCAGGAAAAAGCCCTACCCGCGGCACGGGCAGGGCGTGGAAAACTTTCCCGGCGACGCCGTGGATTACACGTCGAGACGCCGTCGACAGCGTGTCGGTCCCTCGTAGGGTGGGTCGTGACCCACCATGAACCCAGGGCTCACGTCGCTGCGGTGGATCACGACCCTCCCTACAACGGATTCGACTAACCGTGCGGACTACGCCACCGGCGCTTTCACCTCGGAAGTGAACTCACACTCCTTATGCGCGCCGTCGCAGAACGGCGCGTTCTTCGACGCCCCGCAGCGGCATAGCGCGATCGCCGGCTTCGACGGGTCGAGTGGGAACGCGTTGCCGTCGGCGTCGTAGAGCTCGATCGGCCCCTCGATCTTCAGCGAGCCATTCTTACGAACCGTGATCTTGACGTCGGCCATGGGGGCAAATCTCCGGGGAGTTGTTGACGCTTCGATTGTTGACGGGAAGAAGCTAACCGCCAAGACGCCAATAGGAATGACGAAATCCGAATGACGAACCTGTCGGAGGGGTTAGGCCGCTACCGGCAGGTTCGTCATTCGTGTTTCGTCATTCGTCATTCGCTTTCTCAATCAGCCACTCCCACGCGACCCACCCCACCTTCGACAGCGACTTGCCCGAGCACTTGTCCGGCGTATCTTCTGTCGTGTGCCAATAGGGGTAGTCGAAGTCGATCACGTCGATCGCGCGGATGCCGCCGTATTGGCGCAGCGCGAGGTGGTCGTCGAGCACCGTGTGGCGCACCTGCGGGACGAACTCCTCGACGCCTAGCCGCTCGGCGACGTCCCACACTTCTCTGGCGATCGGCCGCGACTGGCGCGACGCGAAGCTGTGGCCTTCGAAGTGAATCTGCAGGTCCTTGTCGGCGACCATGTCGAAGAGCACGGCCGCGTCGTAGTTCCACACGCGCTCCTCGCCGCCATCGCTCGCCGGCAGCGGCTTGCGCTTCGCGTACTGCGTGGCGAACCACTGGCTGCCGAGGAAGTAAGGGTCGCGGTCGTTGAAGACCAGCTCCTCGCCATCAAAGAAAACGAAGTCCACGCCGAAGTCTTGATCGGGCGCCGCTTCGTCGAACCGCTCCGCCATCAGGTGACCCAACTCCATGAGCAACGCCGTCCCGCTGCCGCCGTCGTTGGCGCCGATGAAGACCCCATTGCGGCGTGCCTGCGGGTCGCGGTCCTGATCGGGCAGCGGCCGCGTGTCGTAATGCGCGCACAGCAGCACCCGCCGCGTCGCCTCGGGCCGCCAATGGACCACCAAGTTCGCCATCCGCACCCGCCGCGCACGGTTCTGCGGGTGCGGCGCCTGGAAGCGCTGCTCCTCGACCTTGACGCCCAGCTTCGCGAAATGCCCCGTGATCAGCTTTTTCTGCTCGATCATGCCGCGGCTGCCGCTCACCCGCGGGCCGATGGCGCAGATCGCTTCGAGATAGCCCATCGCCCGATCGGCGTTGAGAGGATTCGTCGGCGGCTCATCCGCCGACGCGATCGGCGCGGCGAACAGGATGAAAGAGAGAACGATCAAGGAGAGATGCCAGTGCTTCATGCGAGCATTCTACTCGCAGAATGGAGAATTCGGCGAGCCGGCGACC